AATATATCTAAAGCATTGCATATTAGGAGAAAAAACATATCGATACACTATAATATAATAGTGTTTTAACTGACATGAAGTGGTACATGTGTATATTTTGTGACATTTGGGTTATGGTTATGTTACATACAATATATATTGTGTTTGTTTCCAGAAATAAACGTAGAAAAAAAAAACTGCCCTCCTCCTCCTCCTCTTCTGTGTACTCCAGGCTCAGCTGCCTCTGCTCCACCACATGGCAGGCCATCAAAAAATCAACTTGTTCCCACTCCACCTGTTCAAAACACTATTAATCTGCTGCCTTCCAATAAGAGGCTTGGCTCTCAGCGAGGAGCCAATAGAGAGGCATTAAAGCTGTGAGACCCAGGCCAATCCCAGGCTGCATTCTAATGTGGCCTATCTTTATCAAGGTGCCACTCCATTTCCAGATACTGCTTATTTATGACCTCTGAGGAGAGAGCCGGCAGGAGGCATGTGTCTTTAGGAGAACACTAAAAATCGGTGACCAGAGGGCTCAGATATGGGATTATCACAGACCACACTGTGGCTGAGAAGAGGTGAAGGGCGAGAGTGAAGTGTGTATCTGCTTTTTCTGATGCGGTATTAACTTAAGCAAACACCAGGGACTTTGTTAAAATTGCTATTAGCGTTCTTAAATATTTTAGTATCTGGACGGTGAGTGTGATCACAGATCCCAGACATCGGCTGTGGGTGAGAGAACTCCTTGAGGGCCCATCAGAGGTCTTTTCCTGCCTGGATCTTATTGGATGTGTTACTGAGACCTGGAGGCAGAGTAACAGTGCTTCCCATGGATCCAAACATCCAGGGGCCTTTTCTGTTTAACAACAGCCTGAACCAATTCCCGTCGGAGCTCAAGGCCCCAGTGTGCCAGTACTCAGTGCCCAACTCTTTCTACAAGCTCAACCCGGGTCTAAACAGCCATCTGCAGGCGGGGACGCCTCACGGCATTAGCGACATCCTGAGCCGCTCCATGATGGCGATGGGCTCCACGGGCACCACCACCCTGCTGTCCGGATACTCCACCATGGGGGGGTTCAGCCCCTCCGTCACCAGCACGTCCATGTACTATAACCGGGACTACAACCCCTCCCTGGGCGGCTTCTCCAAGCCCGGCGCCGAGTGCCACATGAAGGGTCGAAGCGTGAGCTGCTGGGCAGAGAACGGCTGTGACTGGAGAGGAGGGAGGCAGCAGTGCACAAACAGTGAGTCTCAGTCCTGCAAGCATGGACTCAACATCCAACACATTACAACTTCCTTGTGTCTGTCTCTGTAACACGATGTGTTACCTTGTGTTGCCAGAGTGTCTTTTGTCTTTACTAAAGAGGACAAATTTATCTAATCATGTAATGTATAATGTACTAATTTGATCAATATCTTTAGTTTGTATTGTTTTGAAAACTGAATAATGCTTCGATTATATAAGATAATATTCAAAATGTTATTTTAAAGATTTAATTGTAAATTTTAAGAGTAATTTATTAGGGGTGTAATCTAAGAGAAAATACAAAAACAAGGATTTACAGGGGTTGATGAGTGTGTGTGGCATTTCAAACGTCACATCAAATATTAAAAAAAAAGTATTTTTTATATAATATGTGGATAATGCTTTATATTCTATCTATATTCCAACAAATAGTTTATAATTAGGGGATGAACATGATTCAAGAACAGTAATTATGAAATTATAGAAACACAAATATGTGATAATTAATGTCCCACCCAAAGCATTTCAGTGGGTTAATGTTATTTCTATGTAAAAATTTAAAACCCCGCAGTGTTTTTTCTTGAGTATTGTTTTCTTCTTTGATATTTTTAGACAGTGGTCCTTTGGGGGAGATGACAGGCAGGAAGAAACACACCAGACCAACATTTAGTGGACATCAGATATTTGCTCTGGAGAAAACATTCGAGCAGACAAAGTACTTGGCCGGGCCTGAGAGAGCGAGACTGGCTTATTCTCTGGGCATGACTGAATCACAAGTCAAGGTAAAGATAACAGAACATTTACATTAAAGCTTTTGAAATGATGCTTTTGTGTCAGGTTAGGGTTAGCCTTACGACGTACATGTTTAGAACACATTACTCCACTGATTTGATGTTTTCCTTTAATTTGGTTTTCCCATACTTTTGTGTGCGTGTGTGTGTGTGTAAAGTAGGCAAACTGTTGTTTTGACAGGTAAAAAAAAGTGCAACAACATAATTATATAACAAGTGCATGAAGAGACAAAAGCTGAGACTCCTAATCTGTGCCATCATCACATCAACAGGACACAGTGACGCTGACACGCAAATATCTACATACCATCATGCAGAAATGTACCAGCAAGGATGACTTTTACATGTTTGTAAACAAGATGCACATTACAAGCGACGTTGTTGTCCACGTTTGTAAACAAGATGCACATTACAAGCGACGTTGTTGTCCACGCCCTCTGTGTTGTGTTTAGGTGTGGTTTCAGAACCGACGCACCAAGTGGAGGAAGAAGTGCGCCTCAGAGCCGAGCTCCACGCAGGCCAGCCTCGCGGGGCATGGCGGCGAGGCCTCGGAGAACGAGGTAGAGGACGAAGAGTACAACAAGCCTCTGGACCCCGACTCTGACGACGATAAGATCCGGCTGCTGCTGCGCAAACACCGCAGGGCTTTCTCCGTCCTCCGCCTCGGGCCACACGTCTGACAAACTTCCCGGAAATCGCACACGTGCGCGCTTCTCAGCAGACCTGCATGCTGCAATTAAAGTTATTCGTTTTGAACACAAAGTCGAATCATTTAAGCTATTAACTCATTTGTGGTCATCCAACAAAAGAGCATCAAATGTTTCAGTAGACAAACAGGCTGTAAAAATGAAGCTAAAAAGACGTTTACTTTTCTATGTTACTGTATCTCTGGCCTGTTCGATGTTACACTGCTATGTGGGGGGATTATGATATACACAACATTTTGTAAAAATCTATGAAATAACATAAAAACTGCATGATGCTATCGGTAATAATACTAATAAAAAAAAGAGTAACCTGAAGATTTTCATTTGTTTTTTGTGATTATTTGAATTTTCAAAATGAAACCACCTAAAGTGCCCAATATGAAAACGTGAAAGGGTCTCACTATAGAAGAAAATAAAACAAGAATAAGTGGAAAATAGCCTTGACCCTTCAATCAAAGCTTCAGAAAATATGTTTTAAATGGAAAAACGGATAAATCGGGAGGTAAAGTAATTTTTGGACAACTATTTAAAGAGAACTTGCTTTTAAAACGGAACTAAATGAGACATCCTGTGATAATAGGCTATATGGGTTTATGGCTGTGCCCAGGTTATTTATTATACATTATAATAGTATGATTTGTAATTCTGGATTTTTAAATTGAACGTTGACTAAAATAACTGCAAGCTGTGCAGCTTTGTCTTTCGTTATCGTATACTTGCTTTTGAAATCCATTGTCTAAATATTAGCAATGCGCATTAAATTATTGTGAATCATTTATCAGGCTTGCGCAGTGGCTCAAGTTCCACCAGTGTTCTTGCCATCAAGTGACAGAATGAAACTGCAAGCAAAAAGGCCCAAACGCTGAGGACGGGTGCAAAGGCCAAAGGTCAAATCCTGTGTGATTTACCAGCTTAAATGAAGACAATGACCCCCATAACCCACTTCAAGATAAAATCAATACCGACAGTCCTGCTCATTCACCACATGTGGGTTTAACCTCTGCGTGGTACAGACATCAGGCCAGATGATTCGGTTTCTTTGCTCACATCAAATATATTCAAAGACTATACCGTCAGTATCATACGTTGCCAATTTGGTCATTATGTAAATGTTGCTCAAGTCCACATTGACGCTATGAAAATACAAATGTTCAAAATTGATCAAGCATTATAAAACCTTTGTGATTTGTGAATTTTCAGAAGGCAATCCTTTAGTCTCCCTCCAACCTGCTGCTATCTGACCATTGAATCAACCACAACATGAAAAGCAATAAAGGATAGAATCAGTCTCTTGATTTGTCGACGCTTGAAGACTTTCACTCTGAGCAAATGTCCTAAATAGCCAGCTCATTCCAGCTTTAGAGGGCAGGCTTAACACCTCCTCTGTTTTATATGACATTTTTCTTCTGTCACAAAATAAGCACAACTTAAGCTGTTTGAATTCTATGGAAAATGGATGCTTAACACATATATAGTTCAGTTAGTGCAGGTTCAATGTCCATGTTGTATAATTCTGACCTATATTTCTTGAATCTGACTGACTCAAAAGTCAGCATGAGTAAAATTTTACAATCTTCATGTCAACACAACTAACTAGAACATGTAATAATAGAAATAATCATCGAATTTGTTTCACTTTAGGACACTCGTCGAGATCCAAGCATCTTCTCTCAGTAGCAGATAAAGCCCAGCATGTACAGACATTACCCAAACATTCAGGTTTATCAGCTTCATCGGGGAAACTAAGTCAAGTAAACAATTCCCCAAATAGGGGTGACTCAAATGAACTGCAGAGCAACTATTGGGGTTATTCCCAAATGCCAAAGCTTTCAGTTTTAAAATCACAATGTATTGCAACATATCTTGCATATATACAGTGCTGGTAAAGCCAATAAATAACAGCCCGTCACATTTATAAGGGTAATATTTTATTTACAAAAAAGAAATATGACAATGTAGTGTTTGACCAGAGTTAATCTTCATGTAATACTGGCTTTATGATGCACTGCACTCCCATGACTGGACAACACTGAACTGCTACAAGTTTATTACTTTAAAAAAACTCTTCCATCCATGCAAACATCACTGATTCTTACCACTTCGTCTTGTTATGGTGAGGCTTCAGTCCCACCGTACAAACATGACAAGACAGTCCAAACTTCATAATAATATCTGTGAATTTATGCATGAAAAGTATTTTTGTATGAATATAGAGAGCGTGTTGTTCCACCAAGATGTGTAGGACAAAACAAAACACACAAAAAATTAAAATACATGTCAGCTGGGATTGGCTCCAGCTAAGGGATAAGACAATTTATGGAAGTAACAAACCACAAAAACATATTTCAATCTTTTTTTAAATTAGTCAGTATTAAAGCCAGATTAAAAAAAAAATCGAAATAATTCACAATTCAAAAATATTATACCGCACACATACTACAGCACGAGACTATGAATCAACAAAACAAAATAAAAAAATCAATGTAAAAGCAAACAGTGCCTTCTGTGTTGTGTGTGTGCACACATGTTTATAAACTGTATTTACAGCATTTTGTGAGGTTCAAGTGAAGCCGTCTGATGGAAACAGCCATACCCATAAAGTACAGTTAGAAGTAAACATGTGAGGCCTACAGTATTATTCTTTTGGCAATGAAATGAGGTCGATGCCAACAAGAACAGAGTGGAAAGGATTTTAGACAAACTGTAAAGAAAACTTTCTCTGAGTGAGGACGGCTAAAATCAAAAGAATTGACAACTATGGAACAAAGCACTTGGTATTGACGTACAGTTGGTACATAAGAATAACAGCAAAAGAACTATACTTTAACTTCAACAGGGTGAAACCATCTGCTGCTGTGTTATATGAATAAATGCAGCTCCTACGTAGCATTCATAAACAGTCAAAACTGCTGTAGTCGGTTTATTGTTGCTTTTAAATTGTTATCGCCCCTTTTGTCCATTGTCTAGTGTCATTTCTACAACATATACTGTACATTTATCAAATTCAAATCAGGAAGTGATTTTGTTATTTAATCAAGAGGTATGGGACCTAATTAAAGACGCTGTGAGAAACTACAGTAGCTAAGAGTACGTAGAATATGTTGTTTTATCTAGGGCATCTGACCAAACTGTTGTGTAAACAGTAAACTGGTACAGCAGCATTCCTCAACAATGTTTCCGGTGCAGAATAAAATGTTGCTCACAGGGATAGTAAACAACTTCAGAAAATAATCTCAGAACTAAAAATGGCGTAAAACAAAAGCAAACAGTCAGTAGGACTGGTCCAATACTTGATATTAAATATCCTATATATCCTGTAATGTTGAGTTAAACGTTATTTACAGTTTCATGATACTAGATTCTGATTGACTGAAATAAGCTGCTAATATAAAACCTCTTGAGTGGAAGGTATTCAGTCCAGTTGGTACAAAATGGTCTGACTGATTGAATTGGTTTAATAAAATATTTAGGGCCAATAAGGATGAGTACATTTGTGGTAGGGTTTGTCTGACACTGCCTGGAAGAAAAAGTAAAATTTGCAACATCTACAATCAGAAAAAGTAAGAATGGTTTGCATACACGTCCATGTAAATGGGGCTGGTGCACAGTCACCCATCTGACCAATAATGAACACATCAAACATAGTATACAGCACAGGTGCTACAGTATGAGACTATGTATCAACAAGACAATACAAGACAAAAATCAATGTAAAAGCAAAACAGTGCCTTCTGTGTTGTGTGTGGGCGCACACATGTGGATGAACTGAATATTTACAGCATTTTGTGGAGTTCAAGTGAAGCCGTGCGATGGAAACATCCATACCCATCAAGTACAGTTAGAAGTAAACATGTGAGGCCTACAGTATCATTCTTTTGCTCATGAAATAAGGTTGATGACAACCAGAACAGGGTGGAAAAGATTTTAGACAAGCTGTAAAGAAAACTCTCTGAGTGAGATTGATGTACAGTTGGTAGATTAGAATAACAGCAAAAGAACGTTACTTCAACAGCTGTGTTATATGAATAAATTCAGCTCCTATGCAGCATTTGTAAACAGTCAAAACTGCTGTAGTCTGTTATTGCTTTTAAATTGTTATTGGCCTTTTTTCCCCCATTGTCTAATGTCATTTCATGTACTGTACATTTATCAAAATCAATTCTGGAAGTGATTTTGTTATTTAATCAAGAAAGTACAGTAGCTTAGAGTATGTAGAATATGTTGTTTTATCTATAGAGGGCATCTGACCAAACTGTTGTGTTGACAGCAAACTGGTACAGCAGCAGTCCTCGACAATGTTTCCGCTGTAGAATAAAATGTTGCTTTGCATATAGTCAGTAGGACTGGTCCAATAATTCCAATTAAACTACAAATTTAAAACCTCTTGAGTGGAAGGTATTCAGTCCAGTTGGTACAAAATGGTCTGACTGAGGACATTTAATAAAATATTTTGGGCCAATAAGGAATGAGTACATTTGTGGTAGGGTTTGTCTGACACTGCCTGTAAAAACAAAAAGGCATATTTAAAATATAATGCAACAACATACACGTTCATGTAAAGGGGCTGGTGCACAGTGACACACTTCAGTCTTTACATCATTTCTTCGTCTCCATGGATGCAGGCAGGAATAGCAGGAACATCACGGTGACGCTGAGCTTTCAGGTAACGGGACTTAAGATCTGAGAGTGAGTAGATAATCTGGAAAACTGCACCAGAAATCCATAACATCTGCAGATAAATCAGTGATCGTGTCAGTCGGGCTGCCGTCGACAGCACGTGGCAGTGAGACAGTCATATGTGAGACGCCAGGGATGTGAGGACGGGGTTTTCACAGCGGGTACAAGCTGAATCGAGACCTGCTGCTGGGCTGGATGGGTGGGGTTGTGCTGATTATCCTCTGGTACTGATACTGTGGCAGAGCTGTGAGGATGGCGCGGTTATAGTCCTGCAGCAGACACACACACACACACACACACACACACACACACACACACACACACA